CAGAAACCTATAAAAGATTCTCGTAATGCAATTTTAGCCCGACGTTAGCTATCTACCATGCTGGGGAGTCCTGAAAGAAATCAAACAATGCTTCAAAGAAGCTCTACAGCCTCACCTGTGACCTGACGAACTCATTGTCATACTTCTCTTTCCATTGTTGTACAAAATGATGTTTTCAAAACCTTTCTTCCCGTTCTTTTGGCACATAGAGACCCGTGCCGTTGTTAATAAAGTAAACACGACCTCAGTAAGAATCCACAATGCAATTAAAGCATTAGCACCAAAAACAATTCGATGAATATTAGCGTTAGACCAAAACAAATTTTTATAAAACTCTTCCAACTTATAAAAGTTCGGTACTCATCACAAAAATTATTAAAATTAAACAGCTGGGTAACCGTGTAATGACACCGGTAAGATTTCGTTCACTGCTTAAATCTACAACTATAAAGACTGATAATCTGCTACAAGCCGAAACTAAGTACAAAAACTCCAATGACTCAAACCTTCTCTGGTAGAAACAAATTAACAACTTCATCAACATTCTAACGGAACAACGATTCATAAGAAACAAGACTGGAAGCGAGCAGACGAGAACCTCAAAAAAACTCTTGTCTACTTCCTCTTTTTATCCTTCTCAAGATCCAAATAATCATTGTCCGCAATATTCAACATCAGCCCACCGGCAGGCAAATACACCTAAAATGGTTATAAGTTTCAAAGTTCAATTTTTTACAAAAACAATACAAACAGTGGTAAGCTAGCTTAGAAAGACAACATCAAACTGCAAATCCACTCCATTTTCGATACGAGCTTAAACACAAATGAAACACTACTAGAATAACTGGAACGGCAGATAAGTCATTATCAAATATAAATTTGAATTTACCCTGTTGTTTGGAGCTTCAGAAACAATCCTAGATATTTTCTGGGCAGCTCGAAGCTTTCTCAGCTTCAAAAACCCAGGATCCTGTCGTATTGCCTCACCGATCTAAAGTTGTAACTAGATGAAAAAATTTACTGATCAGTAAGTAACTGAATGTGCCGATTACTTTATAGCTGTAATTCCGGAACATTCGAGAATAACAGCAGTATTAGTTCAACAAAATAATATGCGTCGGGTTTACAGCAAAAGATGATAACCATCATTCTGCCAAGATAAACGACGCTTTAAAAATGACATAAGGTAAATGAAGTTTCCTATTTCTAGAGAAAAAGTTAGCCTTTTTTATAAAAAAACCATTTTCCTTTTGACAAAAATTACGAATACACAAAAACATACCATTTTAGCAGAAGCTGCCTCTCCTTCCGCTTGCACGATTTTTTCCTGCCTTTGCTGTTTGGCTTTTTCAACAAAGAAGGAAGCTCGTTGTGCTTCCTGTGCAGCAACCTGCTTTGCTTCGACAGCAGCCGAATACTGAGGAGAGAACGCAAGCTCAGTAAGCGCCACGTCATCAAGGATTATGTTGAAATCTAAGGCTCGTTCTAAAAAACGCAGTTTGACTACATATGAGTATAGGATTTACATAAACTAGCTCGTGAAAATGTCGTTCTCCGAACTTACCTATCAAACCTTTTCTCACCAATAAAGAAACTTGTTGCCGTTGAGTGATCAACTGGGAAGCATTAAATTTTGCCACAACACTTTTCAAAACCTAAATTTTTTAAAGATTTCTTAATTTAATTACTCTTACAAATACAAGAACCAAACGAAAAAACAAAACAAGGGCAAATCTGTGAGAAGCAATAAAAAAACCGTATCCAAAAAGGAATCAAAATCGAAGTTTTCAAAACCTCGTTACATATCGAAGGAAGGATCCTTTCTTCCCAATTTAAACCCAACATACGATAAATTTTGGGAAGAGAATTAGGATCTGGCCGTGACAGTACTCGTAATCCAATATTTACCATCTAAATTTTAACTTCTTTAATGTTAAAGAAATGCAACAGGCGGCTACTAAATATTGACAAGCGTATCAATAAATGTGGAAGAACCATGTAAATTATTTAAGCTTTCCCCAAAGAAAAGCCTCTTTACCAATTTAAAAGAAACCCCTTAGACCAAAGAACCTCCTCCTAAACAACGACTATAAAATCCATTCTCTACGCAACCACATCAGTTGAAATATTTTGGGGTTGTACTAGGGATAAAACCCTAAAAATCAAAAAAAGCGAGGACTTGCGAAAGCAGAAGTGTTTGTGAATAAAACTCCCACTCTCATCTACCCAAAAAATTTAAATTCTAGGCACGACTGCTATCGTACGTGGGACATCAAAATGTTTTAATAAAAATTACAATCTACCCAACGCCAGATGTCTACGTGTTCGAGTTAATCCTAAAAACCAACGATAAACGGCGTAAGCATGGTACAATAAAAGCTAAAAACTTGCCTGGAGATCCTTACTTCCCGTGGGTGACCGGATCTGATTAGGACGGGCTCGAATGTCATAAATAATGGGGTACTGAAACCACGGAAGACGAAAGTGAAGGCCCTCCTTATAAACCTCATTGCCTACTCCACCAATGCGGTTGAACATAATTGCGCGGTGACCAGCATCCACTACAATTATATTTTGAAGTTTTTGGCTAATTTGTCAAAAGACCACTAAAATCCAACTTTCAACCAAATCTACAAATCTAACTTCAAAAACACCGCTGCTACGTAATTCCAAATAGAACACGCTTGAATTTTCTCCTCCCCTCCGTTTCCACAGCGGTACTACTTGAAATTTTTTAAAACAAAAAATAACTTAAAATTAGCCTTATCAGCGCAATAACACAAATCCCTATCCGCATCACAGCAGTTTAGTATTTTGAAAAAGTAATTTTTTATAAGGAATAACGAGCGGAAAAAATAATATTTTAAATGCCAACATCTCTGAAAACTTTACCAACTAACAAAACTCTTGTGGTATTCAAAAAACGTAGAATAATTTGGCGGAACGTAAACATGCCATCGAAGTGAATGTAGAAATACACTTATCCCATGCAAAGCAATTGACATAAATTTTGAACCACACCACTACAAAAAACGCAATCCCTCCTTTAACAAAAAGCGGCAGCAGAAAATTTCCCGAATACAGGCAGGAACCCTGAAGTTCTTTCTGACAATTTCAAATGAGAGCTTGCTGTAAGTCTCAAAAATGTTGTTGTTACACAAGCACCTTCAGCAAAATCCAAAGCGTTTCAGTCCTACTTGAACTTTTTCTTAGAATTTCCCGTTAACTACAAAAGTAACGCGGATTCCCTATAGCTGTAACGTGATAAACAGATTATTTATGCCAATCACTATATTTTGAAAGGCTGAACGACTCAAACGTCAAAATTTATTACACTTTTTTTCAAACTCCAAACGCTTTTTTTATTTTACTTTGAAAAAGCTCAGATTAATTGGAATAAATAATGCAAACCTGTAAAAATAGACTGTGTTATTCCATACAAGCCTGCACCAGCAGCAACCAAAGCACCTAATGCCATTCCTGTTCCTCGAGAATTCTGTATTGCCCTTTTCAGTACGTCTCTTCCTTTATCCATTCTATTTCCTGTAAATTTAATGGTTTACCAAAGATGTCAAATAAAAGTGCAGTACAACAAAAACCAATAATTTCAAAAAGACAGCACAACAAGGACTTTTTGAAATTCCAAACCTACATGACAGAAATAAACTTTAAAAGTCAACCAATAATAGACTGATTAAGAACCATATCCGCTTTGACATAGCC